ACCTGTGGCCTAGGTGGTGGAAGTGGGAGTGGGTACCTGTCAATATAGAGTACTCCCCCCACTCCCCAAAAGCGTCAATTCCTCTCGGGGAGCGGGGGACCAGTGCTTAAAGAGGAACTTCCCCTTTTGGGTGGAGTTCCGCTGTAAGTAGTGGAAATGTATGGATTATTTTTGGAGACTAAGGATATCATTTAATGTCACTTTAAGGAACAGCCCCACTCTCCTTAGTGCAATCTGGAATATGCAGTTCAGTTTTGGGCACCAATTCACAAAAAGAACATTGGGGAACTGGAGAAAGTACAGAGAAGGGCAACCAAACTGATAAGAGGCATGGAGGAGATCAGCTATGAGGAAAGATTAGAGGAACTGAATTTATTCTCTCTTAAGAGGAGATTCAGGAGGAATATGATCTCCATGTATAATACATAAGGGGGGGATATGATCACCATGTATAATACATAAGGGGGGATATGATCTCCATGTATAATACATAAGGGGGGATATGATCTCCATGTATAATACATAAGGGGGGGATATGATCTCCATGTATAATACATAAGGGGGGATATGATCTCCATGTATAATACATAAGGAGGGATATGATCACCATGTATAATACATAAGGGGGGATATGATCTCCATGTATAATACATAAGGGGGGATATGATCTCCATGTATAATACATAAGGGGGGATATGATCACCATGTATAATACATAAGGGGGGATTATGATCACCATGTATAATATATAAGGGGGGATATGATCTCCATGTATAATACATAAGGGGGGATATGATCTCCATGTATATTACATAAGGGGGGATATGATCACCATGTATAATACATAAGGGGGGATATGATCTCCATGTATAATACATAAGGGGGGGGGGGGATATGATCAACATGTATAATACATAAGGGGGGATATGATCTCCATGTATAATACATAAGGGGGGATATGATCTCCATGTATAATACATAAGGGGGGATATGATCTCCATGTATAAATACATAGGGGGGGATATGATCAACGTGTATAATACATAAGGGGGATATGATCTCCATGTATAATACATAAGGGGGGATATGATCTCCATGTATAAATACATAAGGGGGGATATGATCTCCATGTATAATACATAAGGGGGATATGATCACCATGTATAATACATAAGGGGGGATATGATCACCATGTATAATACATAAGGGGGGATATGATCACCATGTATAATACATAAGGGGGGATATGATCACCATGTATAATACATAAGGGGGGATATGATCAACATGTATAATACATAAGGGGGATATGATCACCATGTATAATACATAAGGGGGGATATGATCTCCATGTATAATACATAAGGGGGGATATGATCTCCATGTATAATACATAAGGGGGGATATGATCACCATGTATAATACATAAGGGGGGATATGATCTCCATGTATAATACATAAGGGGGATATGATCTCCATGTATATTACATAAGGGGGGATATGATCTCCATGTATAATACATAAGGGGGATATGATCACCATGTATAATACATAAGGGGGGATATGATCTCCATGTATAATACATAAGGGGGGATATGATCTCCATGTATAATACATAAGGGGGATATGATCACCATGTATAATACATAAGGGGGGATATGATCTCCATGTATAATACATAAGGGGGGATATGATCTCCATGTATAATACATAAGGGGGGATTATGATCACCATGTATAATATATAAGGGGGGATATGATCTCCATGTATAATACATAAGGGGGGATATGATCTCCATGTATATTACATAAGGGGGGATATGATCACCATGTATAATACATAAGGGGGGATATGATCTCCATGTATAATACATAAGGGGGGATATGATCTCCATGTATAATACATAAGGGGGGATATGATCTCCATGTATAATACATAAGGGGGGATATGATCTCCATGTATAAATACCTAAGGGGGGATATGATCAACGTGTATAATACATAAGGGGGATATGATCTCCATATATAATACATAGGGGGGATATGATCTCCATGTATAATACATAAGGGGGGATATGATCACCATGTATAATACATAAGGGGGGATATGATCAACATGTATAATACATAAGGGGGGATATGATCTCCATGTATAATACATAAGGGGGGATATGATCTCCATGTATAATACATAAGGGGATCTTTATGATCTCCATGTATAATACATAAGGGGGGATTGATCACCATGTTAATACATAAGGGGGATATGATCTCCATGTATCCGATACTTAAGGTGGATATGATCTCCATGTATACACATAAGGGGGGATATGATCTCCATGTATAATACATAAGGGGGGGGGATATGATCACCTTTGTATAATACATAAGGGGATATGATCAACATGATCCGACATAAGGGGGGATATGATCTCCATGTATAAATAGATCAGTGGTTCATATAGTGAACTCGGTGTAGAGTTATTCACCTGAGGTTCTGGCCAGCTGAGTGGATTCTTTAAAAAAGTCCTGGATTGTTTCTTGGCGGGGATGCCTTCCACCACCTGCCCCCCCACTAGGAGAATACAGTGGCTCAGCAGGAGGGATTCTTCTGTCAGCACTGTTTGTGTTGATGGGGGGAATCGTGCAAATTTACAGGAAAAAGAATTTGCAACATCTATGGCCTGCTTTACCTTTGTTGCCATCACAGCGATCTTTAGATCTCTGATCCGACACTTACCTTTGTCGCCATTACAGCGATCTTTAGATCTCTGATCCGACACTTACCTTTGTCGCCATTACAGCGATCTTTAGATCTCTGATCTGATCACTTACCTTTGTCACCATTACAGCGATCTTTAGATCTCTGATCCGATACTTACCTTTGTCACCATTACAGCGATCTGTAGTGTTGGGTGGGCTGGCCCTTTAACATGACATCATATGTAGTAAGGCAATGCAGAAACTGGCACAGGACATTATTGTGATGAAGATGATCGCCTGCCTCTGTCCTGCGAGCTCTGATGGAACAGAAGATTACAGAGGCGCACTGTTCTGCTTCAACCTGGTTACGTCTAATGAGCTTTGAACAAAAAGCTTCTGCAAAGGGCAATCTCAGCATTTTTTTTGTCTTACTAATGTAGCTTTGGAAGAACATTAGAAGTCATCATTCCAGCAGTGCCGACAGACTGTGGGAAAAATCTACAAATATAAAACATTGCTAAGGTGTGCATGCAGAGTTCCAAGTGTTACAATGGCTGTTTTCGGTGAGCACATATTTTCAATTACTATTACAGCGGTTTCCTTTAACCCCTTCACGCCTAAGGGTAAAACAAATCTAAATGCCTAAGCACAATTTTGCAACGTTGACGTGTTACTAAAACCGTACATATCACCACAACTACTTTGTACATCCAGGTGGATTATACCGCGTTTTTTTCAGGACAAATTGGGCTTTCATTTGGTGCGAACTGGTAATGGATATCTCCTGATTTTTTTTTTTTTTTTTTTTATTATCAAAGGAAAACTGGCCCAAAATAGTAAAAAAAAAATATATATATATTTTTATTTAGCTGTGTGTTTCTTGTTACTACCATAACCTACCACCAAAGAACAACCCAAAATAAATTCTCCAGCTCTTGCCGATCACAGGGATACCATATATGTGAATGTTATTTGTTGTTTGTACCCGTAGTACAGCCCAGAATTTTGTTATTGTCTTTTTTTTTTTTTTTTACCTAAAACACACTGACACTAACTGACACTGATATCAATTTTTTTTTTTAAATCCTGATCTTTGACCCTGACCTTTTGACTTTGACCTTGACCCAAACAATAAGCCTGGCACTGAACTAGATCAAACCTTGATCTAGGTATTTTTTCTTTATTTTTTATTTTATTTTTTAATATTTATTTATTTATTTTTTACAAACATTTGTTTTTCTCTCTATGCCAGGAGTTAGAAAATATGTGGCCCCACGGAAAAAAGCCCATATTTGTGTGACGTCGGTGTCAAGGGGTTACTAGAGTACTGGCCTTGAATACCCCTTCATTCAGTTTTTAGTACTGTGAATTTTAGATCTTTTTTTTTTTTTTTTTTAAACAGAGCTTTCTTCTGGTGGTATTTAGGCCCTATTCACACCTGAGCGTAGCGTTGTTGTGCATTTTTTTCTTGCGTTTTTATGTACGGTTGTGCGCGATTTGTTCAAGTGTTTCCGGGCTTTTGAGTTCTGGAATTTTTGTATTAGCCAACAGAGAAAAATTTCTTCTGTGACATCAATTTTTGCCATATTTTGCCATGCCAGAAAAATGCTCTTGGTCATCTTATCCGTGACAATACACGCTAAATTGCATGAAAACACACGATTTGCGTGTTTCTATGTATTTGTATTTCTAAACGTGCCAAAAACGCATCAATCTGCCCAAAAGTAGCTCCAAAACTTTTTTGAGCTTCATGCGTTCTGCTTCAGGAAATTTGGAGTGGAGATGAAGTCTTTTTTTTCTCCTTGAGCGTTCTGAAGCTTCCAGCTTCACGCTACTAAATGCTCAGGTGTAAATGGGGCCTTAAAGCGGTTCTTCACTCAGATGTGCAAAAATGTCAAGTTTTTTTTTTTAATTTAATTTTTTGATGCGATAATGCAATTAACAAATAGCCACAACATTTGGCTAGTAGGACAATACAAAATTGAAAACCTACAGTTTGTTATTCTAGTATGGGAACCAGGTATCAGTGCTGGGTCAAAGGATGAACATTAACCACTTGCCGACCGCGCATAGCCGAATGACGGCTTCACCGCGGCCGGCCAGTTCTGAGTGGACGTCATATGACGTCCTCCCAGAACGCGCTCTCCTGCGCGCCCCAGGGGGCGCGCACCCGGCGATCTCCGTGATCGCTGTGTCCATACGGACACAGCTGATCACGAGATGTGGTGAAAGGCCGATCCCACCGGCCTTTTACCACGTGATCAGCGGTGTCCAATGACACGCTGATCACAGGAAAATGCAAGTGCCGGTTCTCGGCTGCACTTTCCTCACGCTGTCAGATCGTGAGGAAAGTACTGCCGAGAACCGGCAGTTGTCAGAGCGGGGATCGGCACCGATCATCAGGGCACTGATGATCAGTGCCCTGATGATCGGTGCCCAGCAGTGACCCCCGCAAGTTCCGATCAGCTGTGCGCCCACTAGCCCCGCCCACCCATTCCAGCGGTGCCCCCACCTGTGCCAGCAGTGCCCCCACCTGTGCCCAGCAGTGCCCCCACCTGTGCCACTCTGCAGTGCCACCTACCTGTGCCCAGCAGTGCCACCTACATGTGCCCAGCAGTGCCACCCACCTGTGCCCACCCACCTGTGCCCACCAGCGCCACCCACCTGTGCCCACCAGTGCCACCCACCTGTGCCCACCCACCAGTGCTGTCCACCAGTGCCACCCACCAGTGCCACCCACCAGTGCTGCCAGTCAGTGCCACCAGTCAGTGCCCAGGGGTTGTGCCATCAGTGCCGCCAGTCAGTGCCCAGAAGTGATGCCAGTCAGTGCCGTCTATCAGTACCCATCATCAGTGTGAACCTATCAGTGCCGCCTATCAGTGCTGCATATCAGTGCCGCCTATCCGTGACCCCTAATTAGTGCTGTCTATCAGTGCCGCCATGGTTTAATTGCACATAATCCGTGCCACCTCATTAGTACTGCCTATCAGTGCCCTTTAGTGCTGCCTATCAGTGCCCATCAGTGCCGGAAAAAGTATCAGTGCCCATCAGCTTGCCGCCTCATCAACGCAAATCAGTGAAGGAGAAAAAATGACTCCTGTTTGAAAAATTTTATAAAAGCCCTTAAACAAATAAACTTTTTTTTTTTTTTTCAAATTTTTTGCACTTTTTTAATTTATAGCGCAAAAAGTAAAGCGCCCAGTGGCGATTAAATACCACCAAAAGAAAGCTCTATTTGTGAGAAAAAAAATGATCAAAATTTCATATGGGTACAATGTTGCATGTAAGCGCAATTGTCAATCAAAGTGCGGCAGCGCTGAAAGCTGAAAATTGGCCTGGTAAGGAAGGGGGTATAAGTGCCTGGTAGGCAAGTGGTTAAGAAACAGAAAAAAAAAGGGGGATGGATGGCGGTTGGTCTAACAACTAGCAGATGATGGAATGAGGAGCGGCTTTAGCTGCTAAAGTACTCCAATCAAAAAATGTAAAGTTAAATGCGACTTTTAATAAACAGACACTCCCATGCTGTCCAAGGATACAGCGGGCACCTGAGCTTGTTTCTTCACCTTGCGGCTCCACAGCCGACCACGCATGCGTGAGCCACACTGCGCTTTGTGAATGGTCACGTTGACGTATCCTAGAAAGTTGTGGGTGGAGAGAGGGAGAACTCCTGCTTGGATCGCCATTGAAAACTAGATACCCAACCCGCCCCTCCCATGCGAGGCAAATTCTGGTAATCGCACTGCATTTTGCGATCTGTTTTTGGGGTGTCCGTTAATTAACATCGACACCTGTACCAGGTCATATGGACAACGCGTGATTGCAATGTGGATCGGGAAACGACCCACAGGATTCGCTACGTTTCCTGCACAGCATTAGTGTGAACCAGGGCTAATAGAGATGTCACTAGAGGGAGCTCTCTGTGGATCAGTGTGGTTACTCTGTCCCTCTCAGGCCTTGTTCACACTTGCTCAAAAATACTGATGCTCAACAAACACACCTATAGCATTAATGCGAGCTTGACATGCTTTAAAGGCTCACTCACCACTTGCCCTCTGGAAGATTTACCCCCCCCCCCCCCTTCATGACCAGGCCATTTTTTGCTATACGATGCTGCGCTGCCCACACGGAAGAAAAATATATTTGAAATACATTTTAAAAATACTCTTCCCGCAAATAATATAATGACATATTACTACAATTTTGGCCATATTCAATATATTTAAAAAAAATAAAATTTTATATATATATATAATATAATATATATATATACTTATATATCTTATATATATATATACATATCACACTGCATGTTGAAATGCGTTTTATATATTACAAAATATGTGAAAAATATTTTTAAAAATATATATTTTTTAAATATATATTTCAGATTTTTCTTTTACATATAAAAAAGTCCTTTTAACATATATTTTTACATATATATTTGTAAATGCATTCCAAAAATGTAGATTTGTAGTTTTAAAGATATACAATATATTTGAAATTTATTTGTAAAAATATTTTTCATATATTTTGTAATAAAAACGCATTTTAACACACAGTGTGTGTGTGTGTATATATATATATATATATGTGTGTATATATAAATATATTGAATATGGACAAAATTGTAGTATTTCAAATATATGTCAATATATTTGGGAAGAATATTTTTAAAATATATTTCAAGTATATTTTTCTTCCATATGGGTGCTTTAACTGACAATTGCGCAGTCATGCAACGCTGCTCCTGAATGAAATTTAGATACTTTTTTTCACACAAATAGAGCTTTCTGTCCGTGATATTTGATCACCACTGGGTTATTTATTTTTTTGCTCTATAATTAAAATCTAAAAGAAAAACAATATTTTTACTTTTTGCTGTAAAACATCCCATAAAACTCTTCATAAATTTAGTCCAAAATGTATTCTGCTACATGTACTTGGTAAAAAAAAAATCCCAATAGGTGTGTAATAATTGGTTTGTGTGAAAATCTCTAGCATCAACAAATGACAGTATAAATACTGACTTTTTTTAATTAATAGTAATGATGGCAATCAGCGACTTATAGAGGTATCATTATGGTGTATTATTATCAATTATTCTGCCGACTCAAGGACTTGCCTTTTGAGAAGTAGCAGTCAAGTAAATTTTAAATTCATCATAGCTAACTAATTAAAGAAGATCTGTCACTATAAATGTTATAGTACAGTTGGATGCCCTATGGGGCAGAGAGTACATGTAGCACTTTGTCCCATGTTTCTACATGCTTTCTAACCCTAGTTAGGAGTACCAACCTACTGCTGTGGCCGATCCAACAACACCTCTGAAGGAGACGGCTGGTTCATAGCTGCAGCTTGTCTTGGCAGCAAGAAGAATGCTTGCACAGGAATTGCTGGTCTCAGCAACAGTGGAGGGGGGGGGGGGGGTGCAGTAACACCACTGTCTTTGTCATATGACCGTAATAAGACTTAGTGATTGGTTAATAGGCCTGAGCACTGTCACAAGGTAGGCCACATGTGCCTCCATACCTGGTAAAACGCTGTCTGCAAGGGAGTACAGGCAAGGGGGTTGGTGGGGGTCCCTTTGCAGACATAATGTAACTTTGCCCTGTATGGACAGGCGTTGACTTAAGGGCTCCATGTACCACTGCAGCTGATAAATTCACGTTTAGGAGCTGTTCTGCGTTTTTTTCAGCAGCCCCTGAACTCACCCTAATGTTTTCCTATGTGTCCATGTACACATCTGAGTACACATTTGAGTTTACAGTCGTTTTTGTGAATGCATAAAAACTTGCGTTCAGACGTCCATTTTATCAGCGTTTCAAGCGCAAAACGCCTGTAAACGTGGCAAATCGCGTTTAAAAGCGTTTCCGTTTTAAATTTTTTTTTAAGTCTTCCAGTTCCCAATGCTGTCCAGAGCCTTTTTTCATCATGAAAAATGCATGCAAAGCGTTTTCAAGGTACTCAGATGGACAAAACACTGAACACAACCAAGCTTGTCACACATTGTAATGAACAATTCACACCTCAGACCTCTCCCACCCTTGGAAACAAAAGACATGTTAATGCACATTCACACCTCAAATTCCTCATGAAGACCCCCTGCCAGGTGGCCAGCCACCTGTCCCACCCTTGGAAACAAAAGAAATGTTAATGAGCAACTCACATCTGGCTAATCTCAACACATACTGCTGTCTCTGCTTCTAATCTCTGTATTTCTCTGAAACAGTCTGAAATAGTTAATAATTTACCACTTTTCAGTTCATTTTGGGCATTTGGGAGGTTCTCCTGTGCTTATCTTTAAAAAACTCTGCTAAACGCAAACGCGGTTTATGCAAACGTGACTAAACAGATGTTTTTTAACCTACGTTTTCCAGCAGTCAGTTTCCATCGTTCAGAAGTGTCCCGTGTACATGGGGCGTTAAACTTTCAAAAGTAAAAACCCAATACAGACGTGACATAGCCGCCTGCAGCACGTATTGGAGGACCCAGGAGTCCGATACTGCCCTAAGTTGAATACTGTAGATACTTTGGCCGGTGCAGCGTTGCATGGCAGCAAAGATCAGAGGCACGTGCTACACGATAGAACAGGGGTGTCAAACTGGTGGCCCTCCAGCTGTTGCCAAACTACAAGTCCCATCATGCCTCTGCCTTTGGGAGTCATGCTTGTAACTGCCAATCTTGCCATGCCTCATGGGACTTGTAGTTTGGCAACAGCTGGAGGGCTGCCAGTTTGACACCCGGATTATTCCTCATCTTTAAACCGGGTCCCATTTATTTATTTATTTCATTTTTGGCATCAGAAGTCCCATTAATGCAGTCAGCAGTCATTTCCATAAGACTTTCGGTTGTGTGGCTCGGTGATGTGCTCAGCATTCTTTGTCCCAGAGCTGAGTGCTTGTTTAGGGATTTTATCAGCTACTTGGAGCGTAGTGTTTGCTTAGCTTATAATAGGGCCGAGTAAGCAATAGTGGGACTTTTTGGTCACGTACAATGCTTTGCTCGGTATTTGGCAGAACATCTCAACAAGGTGACATTGCTGAGCTTAACAGTATAGAAACGAGCAAATGCAAAGCCGACTTCAGCCGTCTCCTGGATGTAATGGCATGTGATATCAGAGCTCATTATAGCACTGCCATTGTTGTGGAGAAGATATTGATCTTTATGCTGAATAAAGCTATATGGAAATCGATGGTCCCCAATCTTCACTCCATCACGATGTCAGATCATGCACCCACAGCGGGCCTAATCGTGCCCACAATTTGGCCATCAGTGAGCTGTCAAAGAGAATCAGATCACATTGACACTTTCAGAACTTGTATTTTCAGCACTGCAATCTCCCGTGTCCTGACTGTTCCTTCTAAAGCAGTCTTTCTCAGCCCTTTTACCCAAGAAGAATTAATTTTCCGCTTTCTGGGAACCCCCTACTAAATCCACTTCATAGGTGGTAAATGGGGAAAATGACCCTTACATTGGTGGTCAGGAGGAAGAATGCAACCCTTTGATTTTGCCACGCACTAAAGCACCTACCTCTTCAGCATGCATTTTTGATGTGTTTTGTGACGCTTCTGTGATCCTTTTTTCCTTTTTTAAAGTTTTAATGAAGCATGGCAAATGCCCTGTGTATATTGATTTTTTATTTGTTTTAAAGTGGCCCATTAGAATCCTGGCTCACTAGTGTCTCCAACTCAGTAATA